CAGGTTCTCAGACTTAGCGAGTATTCGGACCGTCTTAACGCCAGAGTTCAATTTCTCCGTGTGATATCGTCGTCAATATAGCGCACACCTTAAATATCGTCAATCATCACATTTATCTGCAGTTAATTATACATGGGTATTAACTTATAAAACCACAATAATATGCAACTTGCGCAATAATCGTTTGTAGAAACGGCGCCCAATAAATGTAGCTACTCACTTATGTAGCTTACGAGGAACTTGGGGTCTAACTTTTTATAGGTCGTGCAGCATTTGTGTGTATTTCTGTATAAGCAAGTTTTGTTCTTCCAAATGCCGCGAAAAGGTATTGTACCAATTTTTAATTTGCGCAAATTGTTACAGTGCTGGTGAAACGACTAAAAAAAAAGAGAGAAGTATAACGGGAATAGAAATAATGATTATTTATTAAGTTTTTCTCGTGCTTCGTGATATTATTATATTTTCTTAAAAACCTATTCTTTTAGCCATTTAAACGTTCAGTATTTGGCCAATAAACGAGTTACGTATGCATAATTTAAATGACGACTATAGCTTGTTTGGAAAGGAAGGTTGTATTAAATCGATACTAAGCAGTTCCATTCGTTCTACCCGCAACACAGTAAGAAGCCGCGGCTATATTGTAGTTTTCGGTGAACGTAACAATGTACTATAATTTGCATTTAACACATTATGAGATAAATGAGGCTATCTCATTTGCATAATAGGCGACAATTGTGGCTACCGATTGTTGTCGCTGTCACGAAATCGGTGATCATCCATTTTAATCGAATCATTTGTGAAGTACGGGAATATTGTCCTACACATTTCTTCCCTTATTATCTTTCTCCTCGCTACGAACGATAAACGGACATAATTATTCGCGAACGGTGAAGAATCGTAATTCCGAGCCGCTCTCTCGTCGCGCCACGTCCCGCCTCACGTGCCACGTGCATCCGCTGTTTGCGGCCGCGGTAAACAAACCACGCCATGCATCCTCTGATGTTTCGCGCGTCGAAAGCCGAGTGTAACTCCGGTAAAAATGGGAGGTTCACGGAGCAACTGCGGGAAGACCACGGGATAAGGATCATCCTTTATCCTAAGATTTTTTTACGAGCTTCTCTCTCTCTTTCTCGGTCGTCCTGCGCGACACCGTGTCGCGACGTCGAGCAAAGAAAAAGAGTGACGTCATGCCGGGCTAGTCTGTTGGGCTAGGTCGTGGCACTCCTTGCATCCCGCTTTTACCACCGCCACCTCCACCGCCTCCTTCACCGCCTTCTCTCGTTCTCCTGCCGCCTCAACCATCGACTTCTCTAGCCGTCTTCCTCTTACGAACGGTGCGCGACTCCCGTGCACCCTCGCCCTCGTCGCTCCGCGCCGCGCCGCGCCGCGCCGTGCAGCGCCGAAAAAAGCAAGGCTCGCAAAAGGACGCCCGGCGTCGTGGCGCTCTTTGGCTGATCAATACCCGCCGCCTCGTACGCGGACGGACGGTCACGCATGTGCACGGTGTGGGCCGCTCTCTTTCTCTTTCTTTCCCCTTTTCCATTTCGGTACCGCTTTGCCGCCCTTCTCCGCACGCCTTCGCTGCTCAGCCATCCCTCTCTTTTATCCATCTGTCCCTTTCCTCGTCCTCTCAACCACGTTCCCTTTTTCTTCTCTTCCCCCCGCTCCGTTGCGCTCGTCTTTCCCGACTCTCTCCGTCTTCGTCTGTCCTTTTCTCGCTCGACGCGTCCCCTTTCTCTTGTTATCTCTTCGTCTTTCGCGCGCTCTCGATTTTTCTCCCGCTTCTTTCACCGTCCCCACCGATTTTTCCTCTCTCCCTTATGCCTGTCTATTGTCCTTCTTCCGTTTGCCTACCACCACTGACTCCTCTCTCTCTCTCTCTCTTTCTCTTTTAACCCCTTCCTCCCGCGCGCCATTCCATCTTCCTCCCTTTCGTCCCTCTCTACATACCCCCGCCGCCTCCGTAGAGACGGTCCGATTTTTTCCTCCCGTTTCCTCGGCTCCGACATTTTTTACACCTTTTTTCTCCCCCTCCCCCCTTCTCCGACGGCTGCCCATGCGCCGCTCTCCCCGCCATCAGAATATCGCCTCGAGCATCCGCTCCATCTCCCTCTCTCTCATATCGCACATACGCATACGGACTCTCTCCCTCTCGTCTCGTCTATCCTCCGCCCTTTTCCTCTTCTCATTCGTCCACCTCTCG